GTCGGCCGGGGAGGGTGATGGCAGATGACGGCGGCGAGAACGGCGGCGGAGATGGGCGGCCGGCGAGGTACGGCGGTGAAGACGGCGGTCGGCGAGGACGGCGGCGAGGTCGGTGGCGGGGAAGATGGTGGCTGAGGTCGGTGGCGGAGAGGGCGGCGGTGAGGGCGGCGGCGATGGCGGCGGCGGTGAGGGCGGCGGCGAGGACGGCGGCGAGGACGGTGGCGGGGAGGGCGGCGGTGAGGGCGGCGGCGGAGAGGGCGGTGGTGAGGGCGGCGGAGAGGGCGGCGGCGGAGAGGGCGGCGGCGAGGGCGGTGGCGGGGAAGGTGGTGGTGAGGGCGGCGGAGAGGGCGGCGGCGGAGAGGGTGGTGGTGAGGGCGGCGGTGAGGGCGGCGGCGGAGAGGGCGGCGGGGAGGGCGGCGGCGAGGGCGGTGGCGGGGAGGGCGGCGGCGAGGGCAGCGGCGAGGGCGGTGGCGGGGAGGGCGGCGGCGAGGGCGGTGGCGGAGAAGGTGGTGGTGAGGGCGGCGGAGAGGGCGGCGGCGGAGAGGGTGGTGGTGAGGGCGGCGGCGAGGGCGGCGGCGGAGAGGGCGGCGGCGAGGGCGGCGGTGAGGGCGGCGGCGGAGAGGGCGGCGGCGAGGGCGGTGGCGATGCGAGCGTCAGAAGCATAAAATGGGATGAGCATGGCGCGGGCTCGTTTGGGGGGTCGCGGGGGCGCAGTAGGTATGAAGGCGACCCGCGGACGCGCGCTCAGCAGCGCTCCGACCGCGATCCGATTGTGCCAGATTCGCGGCGCTCGATCCTCGGCGGCTCGCGCGGCGGCGGTCGCAGCACGGCGTGCAGCCGGGCACGGGCTCGCTGCAGTGGTGGTTGTGGGGCGAGGCGAGATTGCACGCGCGGGGGCAGCTCTCATCTCGCGCTGCGTCGCGCGGGGCGAGGGGCGAGGCGAGTGGCAACCATGGCAAAGGCACGTGCAATCTCTTCTCGCAATCTTTCAGTTTCGGTGGCAACGCGCAGAAACAGATCTCGGCGATTTTCGTGTTGGCGACAAGAAGCGTTCGGCATTGCGTTTTTTGAAGAAATCGCTTGGGCGTAAAGGAAAAGGAAAGGAGCGGGACGACGACCGCGACCTTCATGCCCCCGCTGGATATCCTTTGGCCGCGTTGGGCCCAACCCAGAGGCAACCAAGAGTGACCGGACTTGGGGGGACAATGGGCGCGCGGGCGGCGCGTCGTGGTCCTGGGCGAGCAAGGGCAGTGGTTAGGAGTTGGTGGTGGAGGATTGGAGATATGAGGATTGTCGAGATGTCATGCGAGAGCGGTAGGTGGGCGAAGGTAGCGCGGCTGGAGAGTGGTGTCCGAGGGACGATGATGAGTTGTCAGTTGGGGCGCGAGACGCGCGGGATTCATTTTCATACTATATAGGGTGCTGATTTGTGAGCTGAGCAATGCCTGCAGGGCTTGCGGCGGGGAGTGGGCGGCTTTTGGTCGAGTGGTCTGGGGTTCGAGCCCGGCCGGGCGAGTAGCGCGGAGCGCTCGCGGCGCAACGCGCGCGTGCGTGTGAGCGTGCAGGGAGCGAGTAGGGAGTGAGCGAGGGAGCGAGGGAGCCAGGAAGCGTGGGAGCGGCGCGCGAGCACCGGATTTTTTTGCTGTGCGAGTCGAGCAGTTCGTGGCCGGTGCGCGGGAAACTCGCCGAAAACCCGCGCAGCCGGCCGATTGTACGACCGAGGTGGCTGATTGTACGACCGAGGTCGCAGAGCCTTGGCGACGCGACGCGCACGTCGCCAAGGAGTTCGTAAAATGTCAGAGTTTTTTTTGGGAGTAGCAACGAAGACAGGCGCGCGCCTGCTCGGTAACTTGGAAGATGGGATGGTTCTGTTCTCGGCGCACTGCGAGAAGAGGTGAGACTTGCCGGAGCCCGGATCGCTTACGAACGCGAGCATTCACGCCGGTCTTCGAGCGCTGGCCTCCTGGATCGGACAATGGACAAACGCCAGCAATTGGATAAAATGTATCCTGCACTATATCCCCCGATCGTGGTCGTGTGGTCGGCGAGCACAGCGGCTGCGGGCTGGTTTAAATCTTGTTCAAAATAAAACCAGGTACAGGAAAAGCTCCTGCTGTTATGATGTAATCAAAATGAGCTGTACGCATCACGCCGCACCACATCGCGTGCGCCTGTGGTGGGGGGAGCGTGACGCAGTGCTCTGACATTCAGTGGGCCTAGAGCCCTGCTCTGTGAGTTGTACTGGCGTGTGACATTGGTACGAGTACGAGTAGTCCCCTCTTGCGGACAGTAGGTGGCTGGGCGAGAGAGGCGGTGCGGAGAGGCTGGCGCCAGCCTCTCACTCGCAGACCGTGCCGCACATCGCGCAGACGCCGCAAGCCGTGAGCGCGCCGAGCGGGCCGC